AGCAAAACAGACTACCAGTGGAATGAATAAAAATGAGATTTTGTGTCTATTTGAACCTATAAAACACTAGGTTCATTTATTGAAAAAGTACAGTTACCATGTCTCGCTTGGTTTGAAGTAAAAAAAAATATTAAAAATCCTCCAATTCTGTTTAATTCTCCTCCTCAGTTTCCTCCTCCTCTTCATCTCTCCCTTTATTCTCCTCATCACTCGCGCTGCTCCTCCTGTTCTGCTGCGTGTCTGTTCTCTTCCTCGCGCAGACGGGCAGCAGCAGGGCTTGTCGTTCAGCTGCGCAGGGCTGTGGTACTTGTATGTTACTACCACAAGTATAATGTTGAGGTATGCCCAGAAAAAACATTTATAGCCCCGGCCTGTATTAGAGACCGGCCATTATTTACCTCCTCTGACAGCGAGACCGGCCATTATTAGAGACCCGGCCGCTATTGGAATACAGGCCAATATTAGAGAATTTACGGTATTTTACTTAATCTTTTAATCTGAACATTTAATTTTTAGAAATGTATGCTTTCCTTCTCAAATAAAAAACAAACAAATATTTTGCCTGGAAGTCAGTAAGGAATCGAAATAAATACAAAATAAAATCATATTCTGAACCTGTATTCATAAAAACTGAGCTTCCTTATAATCATATTTAAACTTGATGAATTTGGAACAAAAATTATAGTCAGACTGACTTAATTTGTTTTGCTTTGTCTTAATCAAGACACTTGAGCTGCTTTGATGAGCTTCGATAGCTCAGTGTAAAAAACAGCCGATACCAGACTGCTCTCTGTATCTAGTCTGTACCTCTACTTGGTTTTGATTTTGGTTGATAAAAGCTTATTTAATTTTTTCAGTTGGGTCCTCACAAAGAAAAACAGATCCCAGCCAGGGTGGCCTGGTTACATGACTGACTCCTGGCCAGAAAAAAAATCTCCCAGTTCATTTAAACTGTGGTCTTGTCATATTACAAAATAGTTAAATAATATAGATCAGAAGGAAAGCTCTGACAAAAAAACAGAGAAAAGCTTGAAAGAAAAAAGTTTGTAAATGTAAAAAAAAAGCAGTCTGCTCTTTTTTTGTGTGTTTATCAAATGGCAATAAAGCTGCATATGACTGATTAACTGCATGAATGAAGTATACCTGGCATGCTAATATCTCTGTTTTCTACCTGCAGAGCAGATGAGGCACTTAGGCGCACTTCTGGCATTCAAATCATTACTTACCAATTAATCAAACCACTTCACCACAGAGAGGGTATATAACTGATTGGATCTTTTGAGCTTAATTCTATTTTTAAATGATTCAAATTGGTGGAATGGTGATAGAGCATATTTTACACTTTGCGATGCTCTTGGTGAGGCAAATCAAGTTAATTGTCGGATATTACCTTTATTTAAATTAATTAGACTGTAAGAACGAACAAATGGATATCAGAATTAAGAGTTTAAACTTCACAAACTGAAACTTTTTTAACATCCCACTTTTTCTACTGGGTTATAAGTCCAGAGGAAAATATATCCAGACGGGCAATATGTGATGAAGTAGGTAAATCTAATTTATAGTGTGTTAATGGCATGTATATTGATAAGGCTGAAAAACATAACAATGAACAAATTGTACTGTCTGGGTAATAAATGTAACTGATTTACCTGAAGTTACTTTGACAAAACAGCCTTTTATCGACTTTGCTGTTCGCACCAGGAATAATGGCTGCCTAGGAACAACAAATACAAGCGGCAACAAACACCACGGCATGCAAATAAAGGTTCAAACCAGACTCCCACACATGTGCTTTCTTCAGCCTTAAGTAGCAGCGAGCACACTTTAACCCATGGTCCTTTTTAGGCTACCTGTGAAATGCATTAGTCAGGCAGTCCACAATGCAGACATGCAATTTGTACATGTGGGGGGGAAGCAAAAGCTGGCATTCAGAAAGAAAGAAGAGTACAAAAAAAACTACTGCGGAGATGACTGATGACAAGTGTGGTAAAATTACAGGAGTCGAAGCTGTACCTGCATTTGGGTGAGGCTAGGAAATGGCATTTTTTCTCAGGTATGACAAAGAGTTGTCTTGTTTGCACCTGCTTCAGCGACTTATTGGAAAAAGGAGGGGTGTCGCTAGCAATCATAAGCTACACTGCAATTATGGAGTCAAGATTAACTTCTTGCCTTGTTTTGCAAAGCTCATCTGTACAAACGGTCAACATTCTCTTTCCACTGGAACCAATGCATTTTTGATTTCATCAGCACAGAAATGTAAAGCTTTATATTTAAAAACATTTATGTAAAAGCTATCTGTTAAAACTTTCCATCAATAATACATCAATTACTTTACTTCGAATGCAACAGTCAGTAGAAAATATTTCTTGACATGTGTGTGGCCGAGCATGTACTGTAAGCGTCAAGTTATTTGAGCAGCTTACATGACTGCACTCCAGCTCCTCTGTGAAATATTTTAATCAGATCTTGTCCCGTCACCACCAGCATGTTCTAAAATGAGCACATAAACAGGACTTATTAAACAGATCTCTTAGACTTCAACATTTAAAACGGGCCTCATTATTATTGTATGAGCTCAAAGCCTGAGTCTAAAGAGAAAAAAAAGGGAAAAGTAGTGGGAGGAATGATTTGATAAGGCTGATGTCATATCAAAATGGGATTTTTTTTCCTCTACATTTGGTTGTAAAGGGCCTTGGCACAGTTAGGCCACAAAGATAAATCACTTTTTATTCAGTATATACAAAACTGACCATGAAAATCCAAAAAATCTATTGTGCATTTGTTTTTAGCCCCTTTGAGTCAATACTATAATTGCTATTAAATCTGCAGGTTTGCTGGAGGTTACAGCTCAGTCAGACTAAATAGGAAACACCTCTGTAAAATTATTCTTAACTATTGGCAAAAATAAAGAATTGCATTTATGTCTCAGTTTAGGGCTTTCAAACATAAAGCCCTATGATGAGGCTCTAGTTCTATCTTTTAAGTCAACTGTGCTCTGCTTCCTTGTCTCCAATTAATAAAAACATCCTCACGCAATGACATAGATAACACATTCGTTTTTCCCAACTTGTAATCAACACTGTAATTTTCCTAAACAATGGCTTTCTTCAACTATAAGTTGTCCAGACCAACTATACTCCAATCTATGGATCTCTGCAGCTCACCCAAAGTTACCATGGGCCTTTTAGCTCTGTTCAGGTGGGCCATACTCTATTTGCAGACGACAGAATGAACGGAGGTCTCTGAGATGCTGAAAGCTTGACACAGTATTTCATACCATAACCCAGTGGTTCCCAAAGATTTTCTTCTGGGCCCCCCTTTGGATTACAATAAAATTTACCCCCCCCAAAAAAAAAAAAAATTTGTTCAACCAGATATAATAAACCTATACACATCTTTTGTTTTCAAACTCCACTGAAGTTTATTTCACACTTCAGTTTGCAACAAAACTAACTACACCATCTTTACAGTGGAACACTTTTGTGTAACTGTATTTTTTTCATAGTTCTATACTGTGGATTAGAAGAGGATTCTTTGTTGTCTGTGTTATTTTAAACATATTTCTTTTTTTTATTTGTAACAATATTTAACTTTGCTATCATCAAAACATTAAAAAAGCCTCTGTGCAAAATGGAGTGAAAACATTGAACAGCTCCCTGAGAGTTTTTTCTTTGTACTTTAATCCTCCCATCTTTTCAGTGGCTGTAGTGAGCCTGCTTGTTGCTTCAGATCTTCTCAAATCTGGGTTGCAGTGTCACAACTGTCCATTATGCTCAGTCAAGCAAGCACTGTTTTTTTTTTTTTTTTTTTTCTTCATTCATCCATACCGCTTCCCGCGCCCCCCCTGCAATGGCATTGCGCCCCCCCAAGGGGGCGCGCCCCACACTTTGGGAACCACTGCCATAACCCTTCTTAAATATTTAAGTTCCGAGGACCATATGAAGCTCTGCATGCTAACATATGATCTCTGATAGACCTCTGAGAACTTTGCAGAAAATCTTGAGTTATGGTGAGAGCAAATCACACAAAGATAAACTCGAGTATACATGCTATATATTTTTAAACCAATAAAACTGTCAAAGTGGAAAAGAAAGGGAGGTTATCAGTTGCAATGAGGCATAATTTAGAAAGGCTCAGAGGGTGTGAATATTTTCTCTAATTCTAACAAACCAACAACCTTTGTATACATGGTATCCTATTCTGCACACACATAACTAAAGTATAATAAATTAAATGTACAATATTCAAGCATTCTCTTTTCCATGTGGTCATGCTAATCCATCTATGTCACATCCAAATAACGGCTTCCGTTTTGCTCTCAACGCTGCATGATTTCAGTCAAACACCACCCTTTGTGTGCTTGTGCATCTGCGTGGATAAGTCAGCGTTTTGTGTGGGTATTGTGCACCCACTCACTCACACAATGGCAAAGCTTTTTCCGTTTCTCAATTTTTCTTGCCAACTTTATATACATCAGGATTAAAGGTATAAAAGAACCTTTGGAGCAGCGAAGATGAGGAAAAGGTGTTTTAAAAGAGAAGAAAAGGGAGAAGAGGAGACAGACCCAAAAAACTCTGCTCCGGTTTTCGTTAGAGGCAGCCATTTTTAGACAGTCATCCATTAAGTCTCCTACGTTCCCATACTGTCAGACTTTAGCAAAGCCAAGGAGGCCATGTCAGCTGAGGGCACTGGGGGGGTACGAAGCAGAACTCTTTCCGAGCACTGCGGGACTTTGAAGACAAAATAGGAAGAGGAGATAGTGGACTATAATACGCAGCAAAACAGGTTTTGGGGGAAAGAAAAAGTTCCCATACTTGAAAAAGTTTGCTAAAAGAGAAGTTTAGAAAAGCTCAGCCGCAGCATAACAAAAAGGAAGAATGTATTAAAACTGGGCTTTGCTTAGTGGTACAAAAAGTGGCAGAAAATGAAGTATGGGATGCTGTGTTTGTGTTTCAGTCTGACAGGGCCACTCTGTATGATGTCTGTGAGCATCTTACCTCTGCCCCTGTGTGTTCTGTCTGCGTTGTGCGATCAGTCATTTGACAGTCTTTCATCTTCAGGGCTGCTCTGGCGCTCTCCTGCATACAAAGCAAACACACATGCATCAGCCATGTCCACATCCCACCCACAAACACCAGACACAAACAAATGAGTGGAGCTGCTCCCCCTGCAGACCTGTTGCCTGCCTCCTCCTACAGCTTAGAAGAAAAATATTTGTCCTCCTGCAGGTTTTTGGTGTTTTCTTGTTTGAAAATGTAAATTTTAAATAAAAATGTAATTCACTATCAGATAAAAATAGGAAATACATATGAATGAAAATAAGTTTTAAATGATGATTGTTTTTTTGAAGACGAGGCTACTTCAAGGGATGTTGATCTGTGATTTTATGAAAGCATTGACTACCAAGTGGCACCAACTGGCTATCAGTCGTTTATGTTAATGTGAATGAATTTTGTTTCACTCTTTTTTGCATAATTGCTTTAATTCAACCAGATAAAAGGGCTTTTTAAGCGAGACAACCCATTTAAGGTCATGCAACAGCTTTTCATTCATTGTTCTGCTACATAACTCAAGTGCACTTGCTTTTATCGGAGACAAACGATTCCCTCCAGGAGTTTTCTGGTAGAGAAAAGAATTCACAGTTCCATTAATTATGGTCATTTGTCAAAGTGCTGAAGTAGTAAATGATCCCCAGGCCATAACACTACCACCACCGTGTTTAACAGTAGGTATTCTTATTCTGAAATGCTGTTAATTTTATGCTAGATGTAACAGGATGCAGATCCTGTATGTTTATCAAAAACCTTAAAGATCAGCAAAGTGTTGTTTTTATTTTAATAATATGAGAAGCTTTTGTGTTTTTTTTTAGGTTAGTATTGTTTTTTTTCCTTGAAACACATCCATGGTTAAATCCTTACATAAGACCTGTGGTTCTACACATGTTATTCTAGGTTTTTCTTGTTTACTTCCTGATCTAGATCCACTTTTCTTGTATAATTTTTTGTTGTTTAGCTACTCCTGGAAAAGTTCAACATAGTTCAATGTATTCTGCATTAATGGATAATGCCTCTCATTCTGGTTATAAGAATTCCCAAAGGCTTGGGAAGGACTTGTTCACCCTTTCCAGACTTGATGTCACAGACCTTTTTTATCATCTTTTCTTTAATGTTTTTAGATTGAGGAGTGGTTTGTCACATTTAAGAGGCTTTTATTATACTTCATGTTCTCAGACAGGTTTTGCTTAACTGATTTATTTATTGGCAGATTAGACAGAAATTAAAGGTATAGTGGAGGATTTTTGTCAATTTTTGAAAATACCCACCCTCTCCACAAGCCCATTTCTCCTTGTGCACGCTCTGTTTAAAAGTTGCATCTCTTATACAAGCTTACTTTCCAAAAGAAGATTTGCAATTTTTCCACTATCTCAGACTATATTCCACTATGTCAGAATCACCATGTAAGTGAACATGGGGACGAGCACGTAGGACGGCCTTACGTAAACATATCACCAGAATGATTGACAATTAGGAGGACCACTTACTTTGATGATACACCCGGAAAAAGAACATCCCCAACTATACATTTAAGATAACTGAACTTAGATCATCAAAACATGATTGACCACAGTTACTCAGGATTTAATGAGGGAAGGGTCGATTAACTCATTTGAACATTTTTTTTCTTAGTAAAATACTTTTGAAAACTACATCTTTTATTTACAAAGTTTATCTTTAATATGTCAATTTGTTTAGTGAAGTAGTAGTTAAATTTAGAAAAATTAGTTTTGAAGAAATCTGTAAGCTGGTGAATACTTTTTAATACCACTGTGTCACAGAAGGTGTTTATGCTTTGCAAATTATAAGGAAAACAACATCAAACATTTTATCTGGAATAATAAATGTAATAAAACAGGGCTAAATTGCAGGGGTATAAGGCAGGGCGGCTTAAGTTGAAAGAAAATAAATAAAAAAGGGAAGATAAAGCTGGCCAACATGTTAAAAAGATCCTTAAAGAAGATAATGGGTCTTATCTGGCAGATTTACAGATGGCTTGTAGTCAGAGAAGCACTGGCACTTTTCGACAAATGCACCAATTTTATCTGGACCCAAGAACCAGCCAACTCCTCTCTTACCTCTACGTGATTATTTTTAAAACGAAGGTTGCAAGCCCTAAGAGGAACCCTGCACCATTTCCACTGGGAGCACTTTACGACGCTGTCACTAATCATTCTGACATTTTCTCCCAGCGCTGCTCATAGGTTGGAGAACAGAACGGGTTGAAAGTTGCAGTGAATATGACATATGGAGAAATTGATTAACCTCAATAAAAATTAATCAACCAAATTAAAACAAGGTTTATCGTAAGGGGAATAAAAGAAAAGCATTTATGTTCCAGGTCCTAAACCTGCATATAGTCCTTTTCAAATTGAGCACAAATCCAGTTAAAAGCAGCTGTATCTATTAACCGTGACTGAATACATATAAAGCAAAAAGGGCTTTTTTTTCGTAAAGTTAATGGTGCCTTCAAAGTACTAGAGGAAAAGTGAAATCTGATTATGAACAGCCATAAATCTAGTCTCTCTATAAGATAATTAATAGGTTCTCACTTGCAGATTTAGAAAATTATACAGCTATCTATACGCCACACTGTATATAAAACTACATTTCAATTTAGCTTGAAATGAAAAGTAAAACAGTCAAAAGCAGGACCACACTAAACATTCCAATTCACAAATCTTAAGCAGTGTTGTGCCCAGAGGATAGGTGAAAACAAGCTTTGAGATGTGGGTGCAGGGAAGAATCAACTGTATAAGTAATAATAAATATTCAAGTAGAGAACTGTGCATTTCTGGACATTTTTTCCATTCCATCTTGTTTTACTTTCAAAGAGCCGGAATTGCAATGAAAATGACTTGTGTCCAGGCATAATGGACAACTCAGCAAAGAGCCCATTTCAAACAGAATGATAATGCTCTTTGTGACAAGCAGTCGTTCACAAACATACATTACTTGTGAATTCACTTAGCTGCAGGTGCAAGAAATGGCGAAAAAGATAAAGCAGCATGAAGGATGAAAAATGAATTTTCACTATTTCAAATAGTGATTCAGGAAGCTTTAAATATGGCATAGTTTTGCTGATGCATCTATGATTTCTTGTTTCAGATCTTTAATAAACATCGTTTTTGGATACAGTTTATTCTTACACTGCATGAAAAGTGGGATTTTCGTCAATATGCGGCACTGTAGATTGTCGTGGAAGTTCAGGTTAACGGCAGTTTATGGTAATTTGCAGGCATCGCCGAAAACTCCCATAAATTGTCAGAAATTGACGTGGGCTTTCTTAGGCAGTGTTCCCCCCATGCCTCCCCCCCATGGAATTCTAGGGGAGGCTTTAACATGTAAATGAAAATGCTGTGAGCTATACCAATGCAAATCAGGGTTGCAGGGGGAGTTTTACCCCAAGTGACATTTTTCTAAAAGGTAAGAAAATCTCTGATACAAAGAGATCAGGCTCAGTATAGACTCTTACATTTTAGCTTGAATTGATTTATTTAATTAAAGTATAGAGACCAAAACAGATATTTAGCTGACAGAGCAATACATTTAGAGCAGTAATTATAAAAAAAAAAAATTCACAGTAAATGGTATCGGCATCTCAGATATGTTAGATTTGTTTACCAAGCTTTCCTGTCTGACCCTTCAAAACAATCTACCATCAACAGCATTGTGTTGTAGAAGCTTTTATGCAAGAGCCTTTTTTTGGGGAGTTTTTACAGCACATTTTGGAGTTTTTACGGCACTAGTGTCTCATTTTTTTCGCAGTAGGCTGGCAGGAAAGGGGGTATGAGAGAAGGAGAGACATGCGGCCAAGGTTTCGAACCCGGGTCATCCATGTCGAGGACTAAGGGATCTTTCTGTACATGGGTTTTGTGCGCTAAACACTGGGCAACCAAAGCAAGCCCTTATGCAACAAACTTTTAAACAATTTTCCTAACATTTATGGAGAACAGCAAAGTTGCTCTTTTGTAGTTTTTATTATTTTCACCTATAAACATAGAAAAAGTCAGCAGCCTTTTGAAATGTTCTGTAGTATGGTATAAATCAAGATTCTCCAGAACATATCTCCAAAGCCTGCTATTTTCTGTAACACAAGTTGTGCTACCCACAGTAATTGCTGATAAAAAGTCTAAAGACTGTTTTAGAATTTCAATATTTCTTTATGCTATCACTAGTTTTACATCTGTGGTAAACCATTGTTTTACAGCAACTCCTCTCTCACATATACAATATTGCATCTTCTAATATGTTTCCTTAAAGACAGTTTAGGACAGGAAGCTACAAAAAGTTAAATGACCATAAACTCAATGTAAACCCCTAGCTATTATTATTTTATGTTTGTTTTATTTATTTGTTTATTTATTTATATGTTTGTTTCCCTTGTTTTATTTTTTTTATTTTTTACATTCTATGTCTCATTTTTTTTAAGTTATAATGTCACCAACTGCTGTGTATCTTTGTTTGATGTTTGAATTACTCTTTATTGTTACACAGAATTGCCAATAAAGCAAAAAAAAAAAAAAAAAACATGACAGACGCAGCTGTTCTCGCGAGTCCTTCTGTATAACAATGACCTCGTATGTGATTGGAGGAGCTATACTCAGAAGAACTTTATCTCCAGTTCCTTTGTTTGGATTTTGCTGGTACGTGATCAATGGCTGAACGACGTCTCGCGTTCAACTCGCCTTCAACTCCTCTTGGACGCAATGGCGACTCTGCAGTCGAACAACTGTGCGGGAGAGACGAACTCAAAGAAGAGAAGCTAGTGGTAAATATATGTTCGATTACTGCTAGCTAAGCTAAAAGCTAAAGCTACGGCTAATAGTAGCCTTGCAAGAACAAGCTTTATTAAAGTGTATTTTTTGTGATTCACAGGAAGCAGTACGCCGTCTTCACAACTCGAAAACAAATTGCAGGAGCTATGAACCGGAGCAAGGGTAAGAGTTAAAGAATATGCTTTCATTCCGGAAAGGAAATAGATACGGATGGCTACCGATCATAACTGTACATTTTGTTTTCAC